ATTGGTGGAATGCAAAATGCATGGAAAACTACTTTGTAATAATATTGGTAGTAGCAAGCATTGGATTTTGTGTAAGCAGAAACTGGCAATCTTTCAATCCACTCCAACTTTATTTGTATAGCACATTTTATAAACAAGACAGTTTCCAAACAACTCAAAACGTCATCTGAATTATGTTCTGGTAAAAAGGAACTAATAGAAACATTAGATAAAAATAATAAATCGAATAAAAGTGATTAAATCAATCAATAAATAAAAATAAATAAAAGACTCAGAGGTACCTAATAGTTTTTTAATGCAGTAGTAGTTTTTGATCATGGATGACATCACTGTGGAAGAATTGTCTGAAAAGCTCTGTAAATAGTTTGAACAAAAATGCTTACATAAACCAACAGCTGGAGGTAGAACTGCCCGTGTGGAATGTTGCGTGTCAAAAGAAAAGAAGTTGATAATAGTAGTAGTAGTTGTAGTAGTGATAATGTAGCAAACCAGGTTTCCTAAATCTGTTTACACATTTTTAGTGCATTGTAGTGGAATCATTAGCAGAATGTAAAGCAGCAGTATTTCTAGTAGTGGTAATAGTAGTTCTATTAGTTGTACTGGGGTCCAATGGAATAAAAAACTAAAATAAAAATCATTGTTTTATTTTATTTTTGCGTGTGTTACTGTATTACTTAATATTACGTGTATCTTCACATTAAAGGCGTACCGTGTGACATATCTGGTAGAGAATCTGCCACCTGCTTGTCTCTATGGAGATTTTGTTGTTTTGCCAGAACTTATCCATCATGCCTTTATTCAATTGTAGGTGTTTTATTGCTCAGAAATACACTGAAAAGCATTGCCCTTCTTCCTGTGAGCAGGGTTGCCTCTCCACATCTCTTACCTGTAACTTGTAGTGAATTTAGACTCACCTTCTTGTATCCAATATATGGCATTAGATAAATTTAATGCTTTGCTGTGGAACATTATAGGAAAATGGAAATGTGGTGGACCACCGAGCTAGAAAAGTTCCATAATGCAACTTTTATGTATGTTTACTAAGCAGCCAACAGGCTCAAATCTACAAAAACTTCTTGGTACTTATGTAAACAGTAAATGAAAAAGTATTATGCTGTTTTTTATTGTTTTTAGACATTTATCAATTTAGCAAGAAAAGTTTTGAATACTTCTACTTTTCACTGCCCTGCACATCCCACACAAGTGTAGTATTAGCAGTTTGCCTTGGCTGCATGTGATTGGCTGCAGCTCTGCACTCACGGTCTGTAATCACGATTGTAAGACAGTCGGAGAAATAAAGAGAAAACCTCACTAACCTCAACGCAATCAAAAAGCCCTAAATCAGCCGCACTAGCACAGACAAGGAGCGCTGGAGTCTGCTGCCTCTGTACCACACCGCTCCAACCGTCTGCAGGCTAAATACGGGCTGTCTGCAAGTGCACTTTGATTCATGGTCCACACTTAAGGTCCAAAGCAGAAAAAAAGAAGGAAAAACACTAGAAATCACACAACCACAAACTTCAAATGTTTTTGGAGAGACTGTTAAAAATGTATTACCTTCACCCAGATCACACGTCGTCACTTCGTGTTATAGTCAAATTCAGTAATTAGACTAAATTAAAGGGCAACATAATTAGAACAATTTATCTTTTAGGTTATGTGTTTTGAGTGTAGAGTGCTGTTCTGTTACAAAAGCATCAACCCAAAACCACAAAAACAAACTTTCTTCACCTGTTCATTGACGCCAAAATGTCTTTGTTGAAAACACAAATTGAGGAAGTATGCTGCAATAGTAATCACAATCAAACTAAAATCATGTTCAGCTTGAATAGCTTTGAATCTAATCTTGTAATCTATGGTTCTCTGGAAAGAAACTACTTTATCTCACTAAGATTGTAATTAGTAGAAGCTAACCCTGTAGTTTTGACATATACAAATAAGTTGTGAAATGCATATGTGTCTTATGATTCAGTCTTCTCTCATATATTGGTCTTGGGAAGGTTTAGGCACTGTAAACTGAAAAATATTCCAACTGCAATGTGTATTATGTAAAAAAAAAACAATCTTGAGAAAAAGTGATATTTGTTGTATTTTTCAGCCCATATAAATAAGATCATTTCAAAGTCCAGGTCAGTCCATCTTATCCCATTTTTAAATTAAACATTCAATACATATTTTTTCCCAAACTTTTACTAATGTTAATTTTCTAAGCTATTCGAGGTGCTTATTGCTTACTCCACAGTGAGATTTTTATTACAAATCCCCAGTCTAATGGTCAGTGCTTGATCCGGCCTGTTGGCACTGTCCTATAGCAGGAGAGTACAGTTCCCCCATAGTCACATATGAGAAAGTCTTTGAAACGCTGCCCATTGGAGAAGCACAAGACTTTGCCTGTTTTATTCCTGCCTCTGGATTTCTCATGCTGGCTGCCGCTCGTCTGTCTGGCACTGCAATCACAGACCATGTCTAATGCTGCAGCTCAGTGACACAGTGAGGGCTACTCATAACACTGGCACTGACCATTACAGGCGTTTAAACCGCACTCAACAACTAACTAAGAAGAGAAAAAGAAGACTGTTACCCAATTATCTGCATTTTAAGAATACTGGATCATAGCTTAAGCCTATTTACAGTCAATTACAGACAATACTTGCACCAGTATTACAGTATTAAATGCACTGTACTGTTTTTTTACTGTCTTAAAAATGTGAAAAAACAGAAATAGTTCATTTTAAACAGTTTGCAGTGGTTCAGAACTATTCCACACTTCCCCAATGCATTCCTACCATCTTAATTATTCAGTATAAATAGTCATAGCACTTTTTACAACTTGCAGAGGCTATGTGGAGTTGTGCCATCATGATAAAGATAACAATAGCACACAAAAAAACTCACCTGCTAAGAACACACTTCTTGGTTCTTGGACAATAAAACAAAAACTAAAATATTATCACCACTGTGTTAGCTACATAGATGATGCGACAGCATTTATTCAAACAATTCTTGAAATTTAGAAAAATCACAATTTATAATTAATAGTAGTTTTTTCGTACAAAATGCATGCCGTTAATTATGTCTCATGATTTTGAAGAAACAAAACTTTGGACACCTACTCCAAATACTTCTTCCACTTGACCAAACCCCAAAACAGCCTGTACTTTAAAAAGAACACTGTCATGGCTCAGAGATCTAGATTTACGAGAGCCTGGAGAAGAGTGTTTTCACAGACTTTGAAGAATGAAATTTTATGTAATGGACGTTGTGTTGGACTCGGCTGCAGGAGGAAACTGGAGAGGTTTTGAAGGACAAGATTAGTTACCCATCAGCCTTTGCACCAGACTAAAGAGCAAGTTTAAAGGCACTGTACTTGATTTTACTGTCAAAACTAGTTCATTTTACACACTTTTCAGCTGTTCAAAGTTATTCTTAACTTACCTTATGCATTCCAAGCATTCTAATTATTCACCACAATGAGTTTAGAAGGGCTTTTCACAAATTTTAGAGACCAGTGTTTTGCTGTCATGGTAACAGCAGACACTTCATGGACAATAAAATGCAGTATACTTTTATTAGATGGAGTGCAGTCAGTATTTAGCTGTCTCAATTTGACCTCGAGAAGTGCTTATACAATATACCTGTACTGGGGCAAGACTAATTTTGCTCAATTACATGGAAATAAATCAGCTATAGCCACTTCAAATTCAGACTCTAGACTGTGTTTTTGAATGAGGGAAGCAACGTGTGGGCCGAAGGCTGGTCAGACCAGAGGGGCGTATATTCAGACAGTTTTATGTGCCCTGGACCAGACAAGACTAAATGAAACACAGACTCTTTCTGTAAAAGAACTGTAGTAAAAATGATTTTGACTTTTGCCTTGCTGTTACTTTTGGTGATAAATGAGACACTTGTGGTGAGGGTAATCCAGACAGCTTTCATTGGAGACCTTAATAATAGTTCTCTTTGGACAACACACCGATCCATGGTCACTTAATGCGAGTGGAAAATATATGTTGTAAAAATACATCTCGTTCTTTTTATTTTGTCCTCATATTGATCAATACGTTTTAGTTTTTTTGTTTTTTAAATGGTTTTCAATATTCATTTTCTGAACAGTGTTGGCCAATCATGAACATCATTGTTTTCTTATGTAAAACAGTGTAATAGGGCTTTTAGTATAAAAATGGTCTAAACGTGTTTTCTGTTAGCAGTTAATACCCCATAGAAGTAAATACACCCTTTTAAAGTTTTTTTAAAGCAAAAATAGGATATAACAGGGGAAAGTGGCATAGTAAATGTAGCATCACCTCAGCCTTTTCTATAAACCTTCAAGAAAAAATTACTTTGAATAGAGCCATTTATTCCAGCTAATCCCGTTCCAACATTTAATCTATTTCATTAAATCTCTGCAAATTATACTAGTCATGTAAATGCAGCCCTTTTCATGAATTGACAAATGTGAATCCTGTTTGAACTCGTTCAGCCTCTTGGCTCAGATGCCCTGCCACCAAACAATCCCAGCTCATGTTTACAGAGCAAACCACAGTCATCAGAAAATTAAGATCTAAATTTCAAATGAGAGATCAAAGTCTGAGTTAATGTCAAACCGCAAGCACTTTCTAATCTCATAAATGCGGGGAATTTACGAGTGTAGGAGCAAAATACTACTTATGACTTCAATGCATTTATCTATACTGTAGCATGTAGAATGTAGTAGTAGTAGTGAGAATTTTAGTACAAGCACTATAGCCAGAAGTAGGTCTCAGTAGTTGTAGTTGTAGTGTGACTATGTAATCTGTAGAAATAGTAGCAGTAGTAGTAATAGTTGTTGTTGTTGTTGTATTGATAGTGATTACTGATGATCATGATGATGTATTGATACTGAATACTGATGATTTCTTACTGATTGATTGAAAACTTGTGATTTTACAGTGAAACTACTGTACTTATGCTAAGCTTCTATACAAGAGAAAATAATAGTGTTCTTCTCTTTCTCTTCACAGTTGGTGACCCTACAGACGACATCCCGGATAACCAATTTTTGTCTGTGATTCTGGTGAGCCTGCTGCCTCTGCTGCTGGTGGCACTGGTGGTATTGGGCATGTTCTACTGGTACAGAGTGTCCCGGCAGCGCCTGAGCCCAGAGTGGGACAGTGGGGTGAAGAAGAGGAAGGTGATGGACTGCAGTGAGAGCTGTGCAATCATGATGGACAACGGGTCAGACAGCAGCTCAACACACGCCAACAACCTCAACCATAATACAGAGCCCCTGCCCATAGAGCTGGACTTGTTGGTAAATATACTACTACTACTATTATTACTACAACTACTATTACTACTATTATTACTACTACTAGTACTACTACTGCTGCTACTACTACTACTACTACTACTACTACTACTACTACTACTACTACTACTACTACTACTACTACTACTACAACACAGAGCTCCTACCCATAGAGCTAGACTTGCTGGTAAATATACTACTACTACTATTATTACTACTATTATTACTACTACTACTATTACTACTATTATTACTACTACTACTAGTACTACTACTGCTGCTACTACTACTACTACTACTACTACTACTACAAGACCACTACAACACAGAGCTCCTGCCCATAGAGCTGGACTTCCTAGTAAATATACTACTACTACTACTACTACTACTACTACTACTACTACTACTATTATAAGACCACCACAACATAGAGTTCCTACCCATAGAGCTGGGCTTGCTGGTAAATATACTTCTGCTACTCCTATGGCTATTAATACTACTACTACTACTACTACTACTACTACTATTACAACTACAACTGTCTCTTTTACCAATACTACTACAGTGCTCTTAATGCTATATAAGTTGGTTTTGATGGCTACTGTTTCTGCCACTACACACCTATTTGGCCTGTAACCTCAATGCCCATAATGGTTCTTTCACACTTTCAACTACTTTTTGAAAAGTGCACTTGTGGATGAAATTTAGAATATATATGATAATGTATAATACTACATAATAATAATTGTTGCTAGACCAATTACATTTAATCTACAGTATGTTCATGTTTGGTGGATCGTTGTATTTATTCTCTGTTCGCTGTGACACCTTTGTTCAGTGTGGGTTGGTGATGTATTGAATTAGCTACATCAATGCCAAGAAGGAATGAAAAACAGTGCTTTATTTACAAAGGTGTTAATATTTCATCCCACTCAACAGCTCTGCTTTGCTAAAAGTTTTGCAACCCCCATAAACTATGAATCTGTAACATTTTGTAAAAAAGTCATTTTTAAAGTCATAGACAAGCAGTTATAATTTTCAGTCTTTTATTTTATCTAGTCAGATTTTTGTATAAACTCCTTGTTTTGAATGAAAACCGTGTTATTGCACAAAGCCTGTGTTGTTTTCCAAAGAGCCCTTGTCTAACTGTGTCTGACCATGTCGTACAGGTGGGTAAGGGCCGCTTTGCTCAGGTCTACAAAGCCAAACTGAAGCAGAGCACATCGGATCAATTTGAGACGGTCGCGGTCAAGATCTTTCCATATGAAGAATATGCCTCCTGGAAAACTGAGAAGGATATATTCTCCGACACTGACCTCAGACATGAAAATGTGCTGCACTTTCTCACCGCAGAGGAGAGGAAGGTCGAGCGACAGTACTGGCTCATCACAGCCTTTCACCCCAGAGGGAATCTACAGGTAACAGGCACAGACCTTGTTTTGAGTATACAGTACCTGATGTTGGCATTACTGTAATGTTATCCCACCTGTACATAGGAGTATCTAACACGTCATGTGATCAGCTATGAGGACCTGCAGGTGCTGAGCAGCTCTTTGGCCCGAGGAGTGGCTCACCTCCACAGTGACCACCTGCCCTGTGGACGGCCAAAGGTTTGGCTTGTTCAATTCATTTATCAGAACAGAAATTCAAATGATGACTTTCAAGCTACATTACCTGATTTTCAAATCATGAAAGTGAACATGTTTCCATTTTACACAAACCCATTCGCACATTGCTAGTTTTTATATGCATGGATTTTCGGGTACAGAATTGCTTTGTACAGATGGCAAAGTGAAGCACCTTATCACTGAATTAATCAACTCTCACATTTGTAGTCAATAAAATACTTATTAGTAATAATTAGATGTACAGCATTCAGTGGTCGGATTTTATTAAGTAGTCAAGTTGTGCTTCAGTATACTCTTTATAGAATAGAGAGATAGATTTTTATAGAATTGTAATTTAAAAATCTAAAAAAGGAATAGTGGTTACAACTATACTTCACAACAATTACTTAAAATAGTTCCACAAGTAATGCTGTAATTTTCTTTTGCTTATGTCCACTCTTGTATATAACATTTTCCATTGTGTACACAGGTGCCCATTGTGCACAGGGACCTAAAGAGCTCCAACATCTTGGTGAAGAACGATCTGTCGTGTTGTCTGTGTGACTTCGGTCTGGCTCTGAGGCTGGACAGCTGTTTGTCAGTGGACGACCTCGCCAACAGTGGGCAGGTCAGCAGAAGCACTTTACACTCCCACACAACTACATTACACAACACACTGACCTTTGAGAAGCTACACAAGTTTATGAAATATGTGTGTTTAGAAAAAGTATATGTAGTATGTAGAACTAGTATTGTCTCGTGGATAAGTATGTGCATTACTGTATGTATCATTCTAAATAATTATGAAAAAGACAGTCAAAAAAATAAATAAATAAATAAATCTGAGTACTGGATCCAGAAATGTGCATGGGGATATTGATACCTAGTAACTTGATAGACAGTCAGTACACATTTGAGTATCAGTATTATTATGCAAATATAAAATTAACATGGCTAATTAATTATTATTATATATTTTTTTTTAAGAATAGCATTCTCCTAGTAACACTACATTTCTATATGAGTAATTGAAATGATCTGAGCTGTGCTGTGCCTGCATCTTGACACCTGGACAATGCCCCTCTCCCTCTGCCTTTTACATCTCTGCCTCAGCCCATCACCCACACAGCTTCATGGATTAGTGGTACAAGTATCAAAAGTATCCAGAAAAAAAAAAAAAAAGTTTTAAAATGTTTGTATAGACCAGACACATAACTTAATAGCACTGTCAGCTCTGGGACCTCAGATTTCCAATCCAAAATAATAATTACAATTGTGGGTTTTAAATCAACAGTCACTATTGTGAACAGACTGCAACCCAAACCTTAAATTACGATGCTCTCCGTTGCTCTGGTGTTTATTTTGCCTTGTTCCTGGCGTCTCCTAAGCATGTTTGGATGTGATACATTATGTTTGCTGACACAGATCTGACAGAGACTGGCAGCAGAGTGGAGATGAGGAGGAAAGGACTTTGTTGCGACATGTACCAGCCTTGAGGCGCTGTGTATGAGGCTCTCACTGTCTGCCACTGTCATAACATGAGTGATCAGTCAGTTCTATATAAATACAATACATGCTGGTAAAAGCACATGCTTTTGTGTCAGCATATTTTTACATTAAGGTGCTGTATGGTAAACAGTTGCTGTGTTTTCATAATTGTCTGGCATCAAATCACAGGACATAGTTACTGTTGAACTTCTTGAGTTGTTTTATTTGTTGTTTATTTTACCTTCCTTACGTCCTTATTTCCTATTTGTGTTATTTTCATCACATCACAGACATACTTGGAGTTGTGTTTTCTTTCATTCACACATGTTTAACACACAAACCTTGCATATTTATCCATCCACCTTGTGATGTCATTGTGTGGTAATATAGGAAGTGCTCCACTGTTGTTAAAGTCCATACACTTTCACTAGAATCATTTGGATAATTTTAGCCCTGAAATTGCCAATCTCTACAAAAGTAAAGGTAAAAATAGTAGCTGTTAACCTGAAAACTACCACTATATGACCTCACAAGGTGGAACAATGCATTTTGTGCTTTGGAGATGTAGACAGACTAATAAGAAAGGGTTAAGGTATGTTTTTTAGGAGGTACTAGCTTATAACATGACTTAAAGCTCACAAGAGTCAACTTTACTGAATCTAGGACCAAAAAAGACTCAGCATAGTTAAATCGGCCATGTGTGAAACCATACCATCGTGAGCTGGAAATCCCCACAATGCACTTTGCAATTATAATGTGTTTGTGTGGTCGGTATGCGTTTAAAATAAATTGCCATAAAACTGCTGTAACCCACACAGTTTCAAGGAAATAGCTTACAAACATTCATACAACTCATTAAAGTAGCAAAGGTGAGAATTTATGCATCATAATTTTCCTACTACCTACTGTGGGAAGTTAGGTAGCTGAATATACATTTCATATTACATACATAGATAAACCGTTTTTGAATATTTCCACTTGAACAGTCATTTTAGGAAACTATATACAGTATGACTTCAAAGATATCCAGCCACATCCTTTGTTATGTAGGCAGTTTGTAAGTGGTCTTATGTATTTATAACCAATATTGTTTGAATGCACATTACATTTTTTAAGATTGTAAAGATATGCCCAGTGTCAAATGGAAATAGTTCAGATTTTATCATACTGTATAAAACCTAATTTGCATCTTTTATATTGTTACTTAATAGTGAAAAGCAGGCAACATGTGTGGTAGCTATTCTAGTGTAAGACAGAGTCCTGTTCCATTGTAAGCCCAGTGTTCGTGTAGTGTTTGATGTGTGTAATGTAAATCCTTGTCAAACAGCTGAAGGACTTCAAAGTGTACAGTGTTCTGTATCACAACATGATTTATGCCCAATCCAGACAGTCCACACAGCTAAACTAAACAACGTCCCACAGTGTTGGCTTTTTGTCAGACATATTTTAATTCAAAGTCTATGGAAACGTTATGACATGGATCCAGTATAGATCCACTTTCATATTTATTTAACTAGTGGACAGTGATGCTACTGAAAAAAAGTAATAGATGTTATTGCTTTGCTTAGAATGTTCCAAGGCATTAAACTTAACTTTGTCCTTGGAGTCAAGCAGCTGATGCCATCAGACCAAGTTACATGTTAGATCTGTGGAGAGGTGAGCACAATCACACTAAGAATGCATGTTCTTCAACATTAGCCAGTAAAACATCTGTAACTGAATAAGTACAAGATTTAGCGCTGTAGCTGTAGAACATTCTGGTCAAAGCAATAATACTTCCATGGAGACAAACAGGTGGGGGACCCTCCAGCAGAAAAGTTGCATAGTTGACTTATGCTTATAATAACATGCTTATTCAAATTGTGGATTCACAATAATAAAATAATATGAAAAAAGAACAGATTTTGAAAACACTCCCTTTGTTTTCTTTGTTGGCAGGTGGGCACAGCGCGGTACATGGCCCCTGAAGTTCTGGAGGCACGTCTCAACCTGGAGAACATGGAGTCCTTTAAACAGACGGATATTTACTCCATGGCTCTGGTCCTGTGGGAGATGACGTCCCGCTGTGAGGCCGTAGGAGGTCAGTGCAGGGTCCCACCACTTCGGCCCAAACTACGCAAACAAACAAAGCCTGTCATTAGTTGCAGTGGGATGAGATGATGTCATGTGCTGAGGTAAACAGGAAGTGACACAGGGGCTAGCATAACACAGGGAGGGAAGGCCACTGAGATGACTCATGGCACTTTTGTGGAGCTGTAGTAACAAACAGCAGTGGCTCAGGGACAGGAAGTGAGGTCATTATTGGGAGACCTTTAGAGAGATCAGAATAACATCAAGCAAATGAAAGCTCAAACCAAATTGTTCCACTAGTACTTTCTGACACCCTTCAAAACCTGGCAAAGGTATAGGACTGCATAATAATAGCGGATAATTCAAGGTACTGTATGTAAACCTTTTTAGAGAAAGTTGGTGGTAGCAAGCCTTTGAATGTGACATGTCATGTGGCAATAACATAACAAGTGTTCTGCTGATGGGTATGCCAACAGCATGACTCCATGGAAATAAAGTTAAAGCCAAACTTTGAAACCTTTCCTTTTTGGAAGAGAGAATTATGTATACCAATATTCAAGGCAAAGCAAAGGCATCTTCATGCAGGTGGAGTGTTGCCTACCAGTCAGGCCAAGTTATGGGTCAGGTCTGGAAAGAGACAAACCTGCTCACAGTTACAGTGCAAGGTCATAATTAGATAAACGCTTTTATTCCAACCATTTTTTAGCTCAACTCTTACTCAGTGTGCCTTTAATTAATCTATTCTATCCATGACAAGCAGTGTGATCATGTTGGGTCTGGCTGCAGTATTTCTACAAGTTGAGTCACCAGCCCAACCTTACATTGTGCTATGAGTATTGCTTCATACATGATAACATTTGTAGTACATTGTAGTGCGTGCGTGACCTACATACAGCAGACAGGACCAGTGCTGTTTCCTGTTATGAGGAGGCTGGGGGCCTGTGTGTCCACAGCTCTGAAACCCAGGCTTCACCTCGGCCCCAGGTTTGTCCGGGGGAATCTAGGGAATGTCTGAAATGTGCGGGTCGCTGCTCTGATGGCCTTGTTTGGGCAGAGAGCGCCAACGATAGTGTACCTGCGCCCATAGAGAGGGTTCAGTGGAGAGAGATTAAAAACACTTCAAAGTCACTGCTACAGATAGGATCACAAGATAGGCCGTTTAGTAGAAGACAGTGTTTTCTATGTTTAAATTAAAGTGGTTGCACATGATTTTTTTTTTCGTGCAGTTGAGCAAGATTAGGTTTTCTCTAGCACAGATATATTCTAAAATCAGTTGTTGGGATCAAAATCAAACTGTGGTGTGCCCTTTACATGTATTATAGAATAAAATCTGTTTTTATTGTCAGAACAACAGGAAGTGTTCTGTTAGTGTTAGCTTTACTGTGACGTCCAAACACATCTAGGCCACAACAACAAATTTTGAAGAAATGCTGAAGAAAATAATAACGATAAACCATAATATTGAAGCAAATTTTTGTCATCCTTAAGTAGAATTATCCTCAAAATATTCTAAAATGCTTAACTAAATCAGAGAAGTCATTTATTGAACCCCATGCAGCTCAAATCTCATCATAGAACAAGAAAAATAACAAATACGCAGTTATAGTGTATGAATAAACCTATACAATGGTGGATTTTATTTGTAAAGAAAAAACTAAAGGCAAATATTAATCATTTTACTGGCTACTGTGTCAATTTGGAAAGAGTAGTTGTAGTAGATTACTGTAGTAGTACTGCTTATTTTACATGGTATGGTGTGTGGAGTGCTGCCTGCCACATATACAGTGTGGTGCAGATCTTTAGACATTGTATTCTGGTTTCTTGTTGGCATTATCTCAAGTCTTAAAACAACTTTACAACATTTCTTAACTACATTTGGTATTGTGGTTTGGACCAACTATATACTCAAACTTGCCCTATACAAAAACACTACTTCTCCTGTCTGACCACTGCTTCTCCTTCATTTTGACTTGAGACATTTGGGATGGGACAGACACATTCCATCCTCTGCATTTCTCTGAATTGATGTTTAATTTCATAGCTGCCGCCCAGAGGAGGAAGGCAGACAGTGGCCCCTGTCCAGTCCTGTTTTCAATGTGGAATATGTCTCCACCCCAGCAACTGCAGTCATAGATACTAGACTTTTTTCTTTGCTGCTATGGTTACGTTTAAAAGGTTGTCTGTTGCATTTAATTTAAAGAGCAGGCTTATTATGTGGTGCGGCAGAGAAACTGTTTGATTTCTGGTAAAAATAAATAAATAAATAAAAATCTTCACGTGGTCCCTGTGTCTGTGCAGGTTAAGTTCAAGAGGATGTGGTATTTCTTCAGCAAATTAAAACATGCACAATGGGCTAATCCTCTCTAACTGTAGACCAGTAACCAGCTGCTACTTGTCTACATACTGCATATTTTCTGCCTATTTTGTGACTTAGTTTAGTCTGATAGCAGTGGTGTCACAAAACAAAAATTTCAGCTTTCGGTAGCTTTTAAAAATATATATTTCTATAGAATGTAATGTACTATTTATTTGCAATAGCGAGAAGAGTTTTGCCATTTTCATGTCATATGGTAACTTTTATGACTATTGGTTCATTCTACCTTTTATTTGCTGGGGCTCAGGCCTTTTACTGATACTATTTAAAAATTGGTTTACTCGGGATGATCTTGATAGTAGATTCTTCAGTATTACTATGTGGTTTTGTACTAGCTCTAATAAGATCAAGACCGTTCTAAAGCTTATTTATGTATTTTTCTCCCTGTATAAATGAATTGAATTGGCATCCTTTTTTATTTACAACCGTACCCTACTTACAACTGTGGGTACTCTATATCCACTGCAATAAATCTAGTGAAAATAGTCCCTGTATTTATAACTATCATCTGTATGCCAATAAAACGGCCGCATAAAACACTGCCATATTGCTTGGCTTGTTGTTGTGGTCAGTTGTAGTGCACGTTTTATTTAGGTAGCCTGATTTAGCTTGGAGGGTGTGGCGTCAGCTCAAGGTTACTTTGGGTAATGTCGCTACGTTAACGGGCAAACTTGTACAGGTTTTGAATTAAAACAGACATTGGCAGCAACAACACAGAAAAACATAGAAAGACTGGGCAGTGAATGGTCATTTGAATAGTTTAGGGGAAATTAGACCATTATTTCCCTTGAGAGACATAAGATTAGCAACAGCTGCAGGCTAAAAGTGCTTAGCTTGTCGTAGCTGCAAAAAGATGATAATTGAATCAGGTTCTTATTGTAACAGGTGTCAAAACCACACAGGCTGAAATAACAGACTCAGACAAACAGGAAACCAAGCTTAGTGTTATCACAATTGCATCAGTGAAAACAGATGTGTAGACTTAACAGATTTAACCATGTAGAAAATGAGCTAAACTTGCATTTTTACAAGAAGGTGCACTAGTTATTTTCATGCCCAAACAGGACTTCACTGTTGTAAGTAAAGGTTTATCCCATATGTTTCTCTCTCGTTTGAAAACAGACTGGCAGCCGTGACATTTAACTTTCACAACTCACTAATGTGTTAGCCACAAAACCACCACCACAGGAATCTAACCACAGCTATCTCCAGGGTTCAGCTCGGCACAATGCTTCTCAGGACTTTTGTGTTTGAGGGATAACGTGTCTTCATGTTTACAGAACAAAACAAAGTCGTCATTGTAGTATTTTCTTTCAAATATTGTACTAGATATTTTTTATGTCAGTATGAATTCCAAAAAATAAAGCAATAGTTAATTAAACACTGTGTAACTTTTGTGGTGGAGTGCTCGCCACCTGCTTGTCTAGATTCTGTGGCTGGATTACTGTCTAGATCAGGGGTGCGCAATACGTCGATCCCGATCTACCAGTCAACAATACGAAATGTGAAGCAAAAACGAGTCTAAATTTGTGTTACAGTGTTGGCACAAAGCAGGTCTACAGCATAGAGCAGACCTACAGAACAGACCTACAGTACTGTGACATTTGACTGAAGTTTGCCTAACAAAAGTGCACAAATGCATCTGTGTTTGTCACGATGTGCGTTTGGTTTGGTAAATGTGCAGAGGCTGGTAAATATCACTGCAAAACCAGAAAAGAATGCAACTCCAGTTTGGAACTTTAAAAAACAGGTTTAAAAATCTTACCTACTTCCTTCACTTTTTTCACAGTTTTGTGTAAAGTGCCAGAGGAAGTTCTCTTAAAGAAGGGTTCTCAAACTGTGGGTGAGGGTCCAAAAAAGGGGCACAGAGTGTTTCAGTGCAGTTTGCTTGACTTTGTATTAGGTAGATCATTTTGACTTGGTCATTTTGTAATTAGCTCGCATGCTGAAAAAGTGTGAGCACCCCTGGTCTAGATCTTAGTGTAAAGGGCTGGGGGACTGTGCATTACAATACAGCTTAGCGTGGTACATTTCATTTTCAATAACAAAATACACTTCATTGTAACAATGCTGTCCTACTAGTTTATTCATCAGCCAAATTTCTGTATTACAGCACCTATGTGTAGCATTTATGGTCAGCTCTGTGGAGAGGCAAGCTATCTCAAGGTAAAAGTACATATTATATCCTCAGGACTTTTATTTTTGAGGGATAGCATGTTTGTCATGTTTACAGAACAAACCAGTCATTGTAGTATTTTCTTTCAAATGTCATATTAAATATTTATGTCCATATCAATTTAGAAAAATAAAACGATGGTTAATTAGTGCCTGCCACCTGATCTATTTTGCCTTTACAATTTACAGGTTTTATTGCTCAATTATCCCTTGGTAACTTGTATTTTTTTTTTTTTTTACAAGCGGATTCTCCTCTCCACAGATCTGACCAGTTGCGTGGCCTGGAGGCTCCACCTGCTTGTCTCCATATAGATACATATTGTTAAACATCCCAGGCAAAGCAACATCTCAAGTTGCTGACCCTCCACCAGAAAGTTACACAGTCCGTCTTTAAAGATTTTGTTAAAATGACATATTATGGCATGTCATACGTTGTGAGTGCACAATTGAAGGCCTCATTCTTGTATATTAAATCTTGTCATTCCCAGATAACATACATGACTCGAAAATCCCCTGAGTGAAAGAAAATGTCAGTGAATGGCGTATGCTGCTAATATAAGGTGGAAAATTTGATCCTGGCTATACATTTCAACTTTAACTTCTTGACCTGCCTTGCCTGTTTGAAGTGTTTGTGAGTCTGTGATTGGTTCTTGTCAGAGAGGCCATTGGCACAGTATGACTCCTGCCACTTTTGCACCAGCGAGTATGACCAAAGCTGTAGAGTGAATTATGTACTATCATTTTTATAGTTTCCAGTCATGAGCCCATCAAACAGGAATAACATTACACAGGCACATTTAATTTAGATATTGGTCTGGATTGACATCTCCTAACCCCACTTGGCCCATGTAAAGCTATGTGCACATGTCCCTGGATATATTTCTATCCATACAGTGCACAGATGTGGGGCCTGTCATTTCATACATAGGGTGTGGTCCATGGACAGCTGGTTTGAAGCTTTATATGAAGTTTACTTTTTTTTTTTCTTTTGGTGAAATGTTGCTTAAACTCTGTTCTCCTGTGTAAGGCCAGAAAGCAGTTTAGGAGCCTTTCCTTTTGAGATTAAGTGTCTGAGACCGCTGTAGCCCGGGGTCTGCTGCTGGATTACTGTCTGGATCCAAGAGAAAAAAACATCAAGCTTTGGACAGTCAACAGGTGGACAAAACAGGTGGACTTAGTGTATAGGGCTGGGGGAGTGTGCGTTACAATACAGTTTAGCGTATCAATAACAAAATACACTTTATAATAACAGTGCTTTCCTGTTACTTTATTCATCAGGGTAATTTCAGCATTGCAGCACCTCGCTATGGTCATCTCTCTGGAGAGGCAAGCTATCTCAATGTAAAAGTATATATTATTCCATGTATTTTTGAGCAATAAAACAGATCTGCAGTATTTATAGTGCGAGCAGACATGTTATAATTGTGTGGAGAGACAGGCTTGCTGACAGTAAAGATGCATATTATTCAAGGATTTTCTGAAAAAATATTAGAATATATTATAAACTGGAAAAAAAAGAAATACCTAACCCACCCTAGCAAGAGACTTAAACTGCTCTAAACAGTGAACGATTTCTGCCATTTCAGCATTAAAGCATCACTGTGTAGCGTTTGTGGTGACAGCCATGCACACCACTGTGCATATAATGAGTCAGGTCTGTGAGGCAAGTCTGCTCACAGTATAGATGCATATTATTCAGTAGCATTAGCATAGAGCGGCAGTAAGTCAGTTAATTAATGCATTTGGCCTTATGAGATTTAGTTATAATATTTTACCTTGATTTGTGATTTTGGATTTCCTTGCTCTTGGACACACATGGTCCCTAACTCACCCCAGGAGACTTTAACCTGCTCTAAACAGTGAACAATGCCAGGCCTGGCTGAGATCAGCTCCTGGGTAAAAGTAGTGGTGGTTTCACATTTTAAAGACCAGAGGAAGTCCCACACGTCAACAACAGGAAGAGCAGAGTCAGCTCCTCTGTGAACACTCCAATCCCTGCCTTCAGCTTCCTGCTCCAACCATCCCACTTCCCGAGTCCAGACCACACACTTTTATAAGAAGCTGCAGTGCCTCAGACCAGGAATCATGCAGTATAATACATTTCTTTTACTCATAGTGTTCCACTCCCCTTTAGCATAAATGAGTGTGGTTTGAGACATTAAGAGACATTTTCCTCTCCAAAAATTACACAAGCATGCAAGGAGTGCTGGCTAGAGCTGCATGGTTTTAAAAATCAAATTGCAAATTTTCCAATTGTGAGATTTGCGAAGTAAGATATTACCATATTGTGTTCTTTGCGGAGACATTTTATTATATATTGCTACCTTTTTCATACTGTGGAACATCCCAGACAAAACAATCACACCCCTAAGCAGGTAACAGACTGTCCAGAAAAAAGTCATAGTGCACCTTTAACCCGCAATGCACTTAAACATCTAGCTATCCCATATACATCCACAATATTGGATCCATCCAAACTAGGTAATGCATGAAATTTTGCACATCTCCCTGTAATATTTAACATGTAAAGGTACCTCTGATGTCTTCACTTGTTAAATATTTGCTTCTCATCGCTTTGGACCCAGACACAGCAGAGACAAGTGGCTCATTTTACGCCAACTGTGAGCGTCTTGTGTTGAGGACAGACTGCAGCTGCCGAGTCCAGTTTCATGAGGTCTGGATGCCTTCCCAGGAAACTTTGTTGTTCATTTTTCATGGTTGCAAAATTATGCTCCAACTCTTCCATGCTAATTTTTCTCCCAACACAAGACGAGAGAGAGAGAGACAGCCAATGCTCAGATGTTGAGGTTGAACTTAATTCGTTGTAAGCAGAAGCCGATTTAGGGGTCTTAAAAAGAGTCGTCCATCAAATGTTTCCCCATGTACCATAGAGATGTCATGCTGTTTGTGTTATGCCTAATGGTCAGTGGTTGTGGCAGCAGTAAGATGGTGATTTATGGTGGGATGAGCTCATAGCATGAGGCTTATACACGTCTATCACAGTAACATATGTTGTAGCACCTGTTTCTTAATGTCCGCTTGATTCGGATTTGGTAAAATAGAACTCTACAGTTAAAAAGCTACAAAGAGAAAAGTTGAGTATATCAGGTTATTGTTAGACAACTGTGGTTTTGTCATGAATTCATAAAGACACAAGCTTCACATTTATAACTTGTCTCTGTTCCTCTTTTGATGTAGTAAAAGATTAAAAGAACTAAAGAGTATGTTAATATGTGCTAGATGGCAGAAACAGTTAAGAAAAAATTAACTCTGGTGACAGTTCACTCAGAGTAGATCAATGAACTTAATGACAGATACCACTTACTATGAACAACTAGGCTGTGTTGGTTTCAGTGTAGTTATCACCTTCCCTCAGACAGATATTTAAAGTAGTCATTTGGATGCTACTTGGATAAGTGGTGTGACATATTACACAGAATTAAAAAATTTAGCTATTAAAAGTGATTACAGTGGCAGATATTTAACTAGATAGTGGTACATGAGAGACGATGTTACTGAATCAGGGTCTTGCCTGTTGTATTTTGCAGAGGTGAAGGAGTATGAGCCCGCGTACGGCTCTAAGGTCCGGGAGCACCCTTGTGTGGAGAGCATGAAGGACAATGTACTGAGGGACAGAGGACGGCCAGAGATACCAGACTCATGGCTCCGGCACCAGGTAAGATATGCTATAACTATACTATAACCTGTTTTTCTTCTAAATTCTGTACTTTTTAATTATAATGATTTGAACTTCATTGATTCAAAAGGGACATTAATTGGATACAGCAGCACTTTACAAATTAATATCAAAATGGTAAACTGTAAAATAAAAATTAAATTTCAAAATAATAAAGTACAAAAAGTGTGCAAATGGAATTAAAATATACAAGTAATCCCAATTAAATATAGCAAATATAAAATATATTTAATCTATATACAAAAGGTGGTGGAGTAAACATAAAAAAAGCTTTATATTTATGTTTCAAATATATACAAATTCTCACTGTTTGTAGTTAAGTAGAATACAAATATACAAATTATGTTAATATTTTACAGGCAGTTGGGTCAGGTGTCTTGCCCAAAAACACAATGCCAGTAGCAGCGATGAGTCTAACATTATCGCACTCTATCCACAGGGCGTCGCTGTGATCTGTACCACCATAAAGGAGTGTTGGGACCACGACCCAGAAGCCCGCCTCACCGCTCACTGTGTGGCCGAGCGCATCTACGAGCTGGAGGACCAAGTGGACAAGATCTCCTCACGCAGCTCATCCAACGAAAAGATCCCTGAACAGGAGCTCAAACTGCCCATAGAAGTGGACATCCCAGGAGAGACCAAGATCATTGAGCTACAGGACATCATCGCTGTGGACTGCTCGGTCTCTGATGAGAAGCAATAAGTCCCAGTGACAAAAAAGACACAGCAAAAAGAGCACTACATGAGTTAAATTGACTTTAATTCAAAATCTAGATTTTGAGATAGTTTGGAGTAGTTGAAGTATAAAGGTGCAATATGTAACTTTCCTGGAGGAGGATACAAGTGAGCAATGTGGAGCAACAAAAACACCTGTAATTTAATAAATGTAACATGCTTAACTTTATTAATGCCATTCTCTGGAAAATTCTAGACAATGCAATGTGAGCTCCATGGAGACAAGCTGGTGGCGGACACTCCGCCAGAAAAGTTACACAATGCACCTTTATGAGGTTAAGACTAAACAAAATGTTTTTTTTTTTTTTGTTAATTTTTTTCCAAAAACAGTGCAGTGCAGTAAGATATTTCTCATATTTCTGGTGCAACTGTGTTACACCACTGACAGATGAATTTAGATTTTAGCTTGATCTGAATAAATATACATACTAGACCAAACTACTTGAAGTCGATTTAACAAATGTAGGTAGCACCTTTATGCAGTGTGGACATTTATGGTTGGACTTGTGGTGAGAAGGAGTTGATCTCCTGGACAATGAATGAGCCACCATATGCTAATATGTTTTTGAGACTGCTTTATTCGGCAGGCACAAACTCAATGAGCTAACAAGCCAAAGAAAACTGGAAACTTCCAAAGTGTTTGAAATAGGTCAATACTAAAGCTATCATGTGTTTTGCTTCATTTGTTTCTTAAACTATTTTACTGGTATTAATTTAAAAGTGAAGTAAATACATATCAAGATTACTGGTTGTTGATTCATTGTGATAATGTGGAGTAGAAGCTAGCCCTGCATTTCCATAAGGTATTTCCACAATATTTCCATATTACTGGAATCACTTCTTACTTTCTTAACATAGTGCCTTTTTGATAACTGGTCAGACTTTGTCAGGTAGCAGCATAGAAACCTTATATCATCATCAGGATAACAAACATTAAACCAAAGACAGCTGTGTGCACTTTACCTGCGCCCTACACGTGTTATTTAATTGTGCTTGTGTTATTATCAGAGAAAGTGCCTTGCCTCTTTGTGCCTAACTGTGAGCCAAACCTCCCGCTGTCTGTTGCAGTAACACTAAGTGGCCTCTGTGAGTGAATGTGTTGAATGTTTTGTGTTATTAAAGCAGTTGTTTGCCAGACAAACAAGCACAGTGTACAGATGTATGTACAAATGAAAAGGGAAAGAGAATCCTTCCACTTATTGTATGAATGCAAATACTGAAAGCTTTATAAAAAAAAAAAAGTATTTTTGAGAAATGTTTGTCTATATTTACTTAAAATATAAGAGTGTGCCACAGTTGTGCCTTATATACTTTCATGATGTGTAATATGTAATATACTGTAAATTGTTTATTAAATAAAACATATTTGTGTATATACAACAAGAAAAAGTATTTATTATTTTCACAACAAAGGGACAAACTATAGCTACTGATATTTACACTTTTCAGATATAGGTGTAGCTACTTTGAACCTTAGCAGGGTACGCCTCCATGTTTCAAGATTGATAACAAAACCTGTGGAAAGTGGGAAACAAAAATATAATTGTACTTATAAAATTTTCTACAGCGTTTAGCATGGCATTTGCATAATTTTCCTGGTAAAAGTAGCAGAAAATGTGTCTATTTCAGTGCTCCTACATGGTTTGCCTCCTTTTATTGCCTGTCTATTCTATCCTCTCTGCTTCCTGCTGGCCTCTGTAGGAATGCCAGAGGAAGTGCACCGCCCCACACACTGTCCACATAACACTACTACTGCCAGAGTGGTGAAGGAATAAAACTTTTTTTAAAACGCAGACGGCAGGCAGGAGTGAGATCTGGGTGAGCTGAGACAGACAAACCCAAACAACTCCATGTAAATGTTTTTGTAGTCCACAGGTGGGCAGTCTTATAAGTGTCTCTATAGGATCACATCAATGTAGCTGTGAAATGTTTAATACATATTTTAGCCTATGTTTTCATAGTAGTTATGAAACACAGTGCCATTTTTAAGTTTGAGGTACAGTACAGAATCACATCTGCAAATGTATTCAGTTGGTACCGAAATATTCCTAGATCGGCTTTCATAAAATATAGTGTTGAGATGGTTTGTTTAGTTTTGTCTATCCCCTTGTTTCCAGATTCCAAATGAGATTTAATAATAGAAATGGATAATACCATTAGTGGAAACGGGATATGGGTAATGGTATTAATAGTCTAGTTTTAGGGTCCTTGCCAATGTCTAAACCAGTTCTGCTGCCCAGTCCCAAGATAAATACAGGTTCTGCTACTAAATGGCTTGACAAAAAAAAAAAATTAATATATATATATATATATATATTTATATTTATATATATATAATGATAATGTTTGAGTTTGAATGTTATAATCATTGTTGTTGTTACGATTATACAATTATAATTTCTTTAGAAAATTTGCATCACCTGACATGACTTGTTTTGTTTTGTTTTGTGGATACTAATTTAAATAGGTACATAGGGGACGCATCACAAGTTTTTTCTTTTGTGCATATATATGTCCATAGAATGAAACAAGGGTCTCTTACATTCTTTTCTTTTTCCTCTCAGAAACACCTCACTCTTGCTCTATATAGAATGAATTAATACAAATAAAGTATTTCGAATTGCATTGTTGAAGCCCCACCTTGCAACGCTGTAGCCAAAAGTGATTTCACTGAAATATATAGAAAAAGCCTGTGTCCTTAATGTCAGTGGGCTTGTATCTCCATATACCTGACTTTCATTTGGCATAGTTTCCAAGAAAATGTTGCACCTCTGGAAATAACATTCCACAGTCTGGTGTAAATAACGTTCAGAAATTTGGTTTAAACTATGGAATCATACAGGAGACTAGCCACCTTCAGAAAGTTATGCAGTGTTCCTTTTATGTTTCTGTATCTCAAAATTAAAAGACTTAAGCTCAAATCTGATCAGTATAATATAATGAGTTTCATACTTAAATTACTTGAGCCACTTAGTCCCTCTGCTAAATTAGTCCCCACAAGTAGAAAGTGCAGCACCAAAACAGCTGGAGTGGTCTCTTTATAATGTGCTGTGGTCTGGACCTAGGCTCAAAGCGGTGACTCAGACATGGTGTGTGGTGTAGACATTCTTTTAAACCAGTGTTTGTACCATACGACTGTAATGACAGGCTTCAGTATCCCATACACCAACCATAGACCTATGCATGCACTGTCCCCTTCTTAACATTGGCCCAGGCCAGCTCTTTCCATCTATAAACTGTAGCTTTCCTCCCCTGCTTAACCTTTGTTAGGGTATTATTGGCATCGTGGACTTTCCTTCAGGCAACCAAGATTAAGTTTTCAATCTTTTATAAGCACTGGTAGTTTGTTTTCTGTGTTCAAAAGTGGCTAGAAAAGAAGTGTCCTGTGGAGCTAGTGCAGGTTCATTCCAGATGCAATGCACCTGTTAGCTCTGTCTGTGTGGCATAAAGGTTTTGTGTTTTTGTCTATTATTTACCAGGGTTACTAAGGAGATGAGGGTGACCTGATTGGAAACTGGCTTAGCTTTTAAGTTCACTATGCCATATTTGTGCATTGACCAGTGAGCGGAAGTAGTACTAAAAAGTGAGGATCAGAGTGCAGTGCAGTAAAGAAAAATAAGCATCCCCCAAAAATCAGGTCAAATTTAAATCTGGACATAAGCTAGGCCCTATTTTGCAATGTCTGTGTGGCACATGGGTCATCATTTGGAAAACACATTTGACCCTTTGTTACTGTTTGTCCTTCAGTTCACATTACATGTTGTGTTTTTGCAGTTGATAACTATCTTAACACAAAGATGAGAGTGAGATGATATTTACATTAAAATAGCAGACGGTGTCGAGTAGGCTATTATTTTATAGATTTGCTGCTTTTACTTCAAATAAAGACTTAATACTCCGAAAATGGCATTTAACTTGTCAAGGCTTGTAAGAAGGCATTTACAAGGGATTAGTGCAACCCTGCCACCCTGTGGACAATAGATAAACTGCATCAAATGCATCCTATAGTGTTCCTGGTGTCCTTTCTGTGTTTCCCCTGTCAACTGTCACAAAAACAGTATAATTGGGGTATTGTTCTTCGTCGGTTTCTTTTTTTTATTTTTATTCCCTTTTCCGACCAAACGATCGCATTTTTGACCCCCTGAACATGGACGATAAATGTTGTCAGACTCTTTTGTGCTATATTTTGTAGCCTAAAAATAGTAGCTACAATAATATCTATGCTGTATTTAAATTAAAAGACATCTCTCATCACACTGTCACTAACTCACACTGTGTAGTAGTGGATAAAGTGAGTTTTAAAGAATGACTGGAACAAGCTACTACACAGCAAACTCAAGAGTGTTACTTCAACTTGTATATTGTTAATTTTAACACTTTTACCATGTCATAAGGGGTCCACAATTAAATGAGTTAAAACTACACATTCCAATGCGCAGAAGGCTCAACACTGGTAAGGTGATGTAACTACACTCCTCATAGTTGAATTTTACACTGATTAAGATTTGATTTTTTACACTAGTGTACAGTGAAAAATTAATAACTCTACATTGCTATGTTTTAACACTTTATGAAGTAGAAATAGTGTAGAGTGTTCTTCATGCTACACTATTCAATAGTAACTCCTTCACTAAATACAGTGTAAATGCTGTGGTCATTCTAGTTCATAATCCCTTTTACAAATGTAAAATAATGAAAACCACCACAAAATTCCATTTCAACTTAACTTAAATGAAATTAAAACAATGCACATCATACATTCAACACAATTTAAACAAGTCATATGACAAAATACTATTTTTGCTAAATCCAACTGACAGCAGGAATTCTCTGTGCCCTCAACAGTTGGTCACAATGATTGTCATCATCGTCATGTTTCACTCTTTGGGTTTCTTTTGCTACATCCAATGTCCATGTTGTAGACAGTTCTTTGAATACAGGTGTAATGATGACATATCATTATGTCCTTCCCACTTCAGTCACAGGTAGAAAGGCCGTCCAGGCTCAACCAGCAAGAAATGTGTCCATACCAATCTGTAAAATAAAATATAGAATAGAATAAATATAACATATTCAAGTAACCACCTTGCAAAACGGGCTATGCAATTTTTAATGAGTCATGAATACAAATTAAAAAGTAAATATATAGTAAATATATTATGGTGCATATATCATTGTTTGTTCCTATTAAGCAGGTTATTCTTTTGTATGAGCTGTATGTTTTTGTATACATGAACCACTCAAATAAATAACTTGAAGGGTAATTTGAAAAAATGTGACCCCTTAGAAAAGATTATTTTTAATGCAAGACCCACAAGAAACAAAACACCTAAATGCCATTGTTACGACCCAGCTCGTTTGGGGTGAGGGAAGTAACAAAAATAAAACCAAGATGTAAAATTGAATAAATTAAGTAATGTTTAATTAACAGGAATGTAAAGGTAAATTAACAAAACACTAAAAAATATACAGAAAACAACCTAAACTAAGAAACAGAACAACAGAATAAACAGAGTTTTGTGCCAGAAAAGGGGTCACGCGGGCTTACACAAAAACGAGTGGTAAAACTTAGGGACACACACTAAACTAAAACACAAGTTCCCCAAATTAAACCACATAAACCCACAAACAGAATCGAGTGACCAAATCAAAAAAGGCACAAAACTAAACTTAACTACACACACAAACACAAAACAAAATGGCATACTGGCCACCAAGGCCAGCAGCCCCGAACAGGTGCTGGCA